AGTAAGGGCTACATAAACCATTCTACCCATGTTAGTAGCACCAAAAATAAATGGGTTTTGGGGGCTGTCAAGTACGTAATTAGCCGTACCCAGACCAGTGTGGTGCCCATTAGGTCTCTTTCTTTTGGGCTTGCCTTTAAAGTCAACTCAGAAACGGTGCCCCGTTCATACGGCCACTCGAGGTGTGAGATTTGTGGCCATATCCCGCGTGAACCAAAGGGGCTACACTCACCCCATGTACATGTTCCCTTCCGGGTATGGAAAGAATGTATCGGGGCGGCATCCATACTGTTTTCCAAATGGGGGGTAATGATTTGAAGTATCAGACCCACAAGACCTGGAAAAGGCGAACCTAAGGGGGGATTGCTCCAAACCTCAAGCGTGTGGGTGGAAGAATGGTGGGCCCTGCGGTCTTCCGTACGGGCCATGTCTTGTTGTTTTTGTTTTTCTCTTTGTGACGGTCGAACCCATGTCGACCCGATCAAATGGGAGCAACCCTAGAGGAATTCTGCAAAAGTGAGCGGCTGAGCCAGGTGAGCTGGGGGCCTGTTTTTTTTTTTCCCATTGGCGGGTGATTCAGGTAACCGTGAATTATTCTGAATTGTTGGCTTGGATTGGCGGTTTGGATGATTTGAGCCCTTTCTGTACAGGGTAAATGTGAAGCCACTAACTACCAAACCACCAATCCAAGCCACCAATTAGGGGGAAGCTGAGTGATGTTCCCATAGTATCAGTGTTGCAACCTACCCGGCAGCTCTGACGGGCTTGCCTTTTAACCTCAGTGGATGGATGCAACCTATTTTCGCCAGGATTACAGTAGATGCCGCAATTCCCTCTATGTGGGCAGAGGGAATGACCATACGCAACTGGGTTGGAATTGTGCCATCGTTCACCAACTGCAACCTGTGGACCCTGCACGACACCTCCATCCTTGTTTGACCTTTCGGTCAACAGGTTCCCGCTTCACTAGGCACTTGTCAACGTATGGGAAGGGTCAGTTCGACCAACTCAGTAAACACAGGTTTCATAAATTGACATAAGTTGTGGATTGTCCTCAAACATTCCATCCATGGAGCAATCATTCCAACACATTGTGTGGCCTACTTGCTCAGTGAGTGGCCTTGGTGTAGGGTGGCCCCAGTTGGAGATTCGAATTTCCCAACATTTGCTGAGTCTTGTCTAAATCACATCCCCAGTAGATCTGGCCCTGGGGACGTGACAAGGGATGTGCACAAGTTCATGTACATGGCTTCCCCGCCATTTTCTTCACCCTTCAATCATCCCTTTTCAAACTATCCAGCGGGCTTTCATCTCAACCCACTAATGTTGACTCATTATGCCTCCCGAGTTGTACGTGGGCGTATATTTTTATTCGAGGGTACCCCTTTTAGAGTGGTTTTAAAGGGAAACACAGTGACAAAGGACACTAACCCTTTATTGGTATCCCCTAATTCAAGACACACCCATGTACCTTGTGATGTTGCTACATTGGTGGGAATGTGCCAATGGCATCCTTCTTGTTGTGGTTCTCCTGGGGTCGACCACAAAAGACATGGGGAACCATTCTTTTCAAAGTGTTCAGGTCACTGCTGGCAACCGTCTTAGTTGCTCAAAGTTCCGACAGGTTAGCTAAGCTTGCTCAGTTCCTAAGCGAGTTCAAGTCAATGGGTTCGAGCTCGCACTCTTATGCCAATCCAATCAAGTGAGGGAATGAGGCGTTGATCCCCAAGAAACGGGTGGATGGCTCAGTTGGACGGGCCCAACCAAAATCCCTGGAGTCTCAGAGCCTGTTTTCTTGGCGGAGGTTTGTTTTGGTAGTTGTGCATTCGCCATTTGGTTTGATAGGGTGCGAGGGTTTCCAAGAATCCAAATCGCTGACTGAGGGAACCTGATTGATGTCCCCCAAATTCCATAAGTCACCGTGAGCCGGCAGTTTTGTCTCCAGGAAGAAGATGAGGATGGGAAGAAAGGCTTCTCCTTGAGGCGTGGGCGCAAGACACGGGCAGCCTCCTTGTATCCCCCCGTGTCTTTTCTCCGCCGTTTAAGAGTGAGCCAGTTCGCTTGGTAGCATTGAAAGGGGATTCGAATGCCGGATATCGACGGATGTGGCTGGGAGAAGCCAAGGTAAGGTGCACAACAGAACCAGCAAGGGCCAGGGCCAGGTGCAAAAAAACAGCATCCCAAATTAGAATCCAAAAGAAAACCAAGCAGAACTTTGCCAAAAGAAATGCTCATCCCAGAAATCGATTAAACAAGAACAGCGGCTCCGTGCTAAAAACGCCCGCAAAATTGGCTCAGAATCTGGAGGATATGTTTGGCTGGGAAGCCATACAGTAGCACCGGTTGCTGCGGTCCGGTGCTGCACTTTAGTGGACTAATGGCAAAACTGTTTTGGTCTTAGGAGGTGAGTTCTGACCATTCTTTCCGGCATCTAGTCTGTGTTTTTTTTATAGGGGGTCCCCTGTGTTGGTTGGCTTTCAAGGGAATCCAAAAGGACATCAGCCATTCTTTGGGAGACCCCTTTCAGACAACCCACGGGTTTTGTGCCTCTAGTTGCAATTGGGTGATTGGGTGTATGCAACCAGATCACGGAATTCGCCAGATGCCATCAGACAAATTGCCACGAGTAGTAAGCACTTAATTCAGATCGAAACATCTGGTGACCATCTCAGAATAATACGCACTAATCATAGAAGACCGGTCCAGGAAGGAAAGACGTCACTATAAGCCACCTACCATTCTCGCTGTATGCTTGCTTGCCTGGTTGCCTGCTTGCGTTGTTTCTCTTTTTTTGCTTGCTTGTCTGTCTGGTTGTTTGTTTGTTTGTCTGTCTGTCTGTTTGGTCTGTCTCTCTCTGTCTCTCTCTCTGTCTCTCTCTGCCTCTCTCTATCTCTCTCTGTCGCTCTCCGTCTCTCGTGTGCATTCTCTCTCTCTCTGTCTCTCTCTGTCTCTCTCTGTCTCTCTCTGTCTCTCTCTGTCTGTCTCTGTCTGTGTCTGTCTCTGTCTGTGTCTGTCTTTGTCTGTCTCTCTCTGTCTCTCTCTCTCTGTCTCTTCTGTCTCTCTCTGTCTCTCTCTGTCTCTCTCTCTCTCTCTCTGTCTCTCTCTCTCTCTCCCTTTCTCTCTCTTTCTCCTTTCCTTGTTTTTCTCTCTTTCTCTCTCTCTCTCTCTGTCTCTCTCTCTCTCTCTCTCTGTCTCTCTCTGTCTCTCTCTGTCTCTCTCTGTCTTTCTCTGTCTCTCTCTGTCTCTCTCTGTCTGTCTCTGTCTGTCTGTCTCTGTCTGGCTGGCTGGCTGGCTGGCTGGCTGGCTGGCTGTCTGCCTGTCTGTCTGTGTCTGTCTGTCTGTCTGTCTGTCTGTCTGTCTGTCTGTCTGTCTGTCTGTCTGTCTGTCTGTCTGTCTGTCTGTCTGCTTGCGTGTTTTTTGATTTGTTGACTCTAATGCTGTTTGTATTGCCCAACTCGACTGCAGAGCAAACTTTCTTGATACTGGGCCGTGAACTCTGCATCCTTTTGCCCCACCCTTGGATCTGCCTTTGAGTTTAGATGCATGTTGCTGAAACGTTTCTAGTGTTTCCCGTGATCAATCAAGAAGGTTCAAGAGAGTCTCTTTCACCTTACCTTGCTGGAGCCTGAGCCAATAGGGAAGTTCATGGCCCCAAGTCGCCACAAGTTCAGCAGCTCACATGCGACCCATGTTCAAGTCCGAGTAGTTGAAGGGGAATCCCATAAATTTGTGCAGCACAAGCCGCCGGTTGAATGCTGTACATTTTGCTTGGTCAGGGCTTGGCATCAGAGCCATTTATGCCTCGAGCAACAACAGGATTAGCTCCATTTCGACTTCTGAAACTTGAAGCGCCCCTAGCATCCCTAGCGAAGCAAAGGTTTAGAATCAAGTCCAGTTCGGTTTGGGGTTGAAAGTTGACCAAGTGGTACCGCTGTTGGAGTACGTAGGGATGCATCCGTCCTCAGATGTGGGGATGCTTGGTCATCTCACCTCCGCCCGTTTGCCCAGGGGCTTGATGGGTCCCCCCAGCCCGGTGGACAAGATCGAAGCCAAGAGTATCGTGGGCTTCCAGGCCGACTGATCTCTTCAGCCTTTGGCCGTAGAAAAGACGACCTTACTGGAGTTTCTAAACATGCCAATATCCACCTAAACCCAAGCCCAACCAATGGGAGCCCAGCACCCTCGCTGACTCAAAAGGGGGTATCCTGCTTACGAGGGAATCCTTCACTTTCTGGGGTGAATCAATCCAGCTTTCTTGAATACTCTGTGGTCAGTGGTATTTTACCTGCACAGAATATCAAACCCAGAAAGCCACCAAATTTCACAGGAAGCGTGCTCTAGGCAATGGACCCCTTTTGAGTTCCATGTCACTTTGCGGAGTATTGTGGCCTTTTAGGAGCCTTTTGTGGTCTATACCCTTCATGTGACCATGATATAGTTGAGTCTTTGTGGCACATTGCAGGGGCACCTATGCATGGGTACATGGTGGCTGTGGCGGTCTCGGAAAAAGTTGCGGGGGTTCTGCAGTAAGCCTGGGCAAGCAGAATTATTTGGACTCAAACAGGGTTATTGTTCAAGGTTCCTTCGGATGTATTTAATGTTACTGCATTGGAGGGTCATGTGAGCTGAAGGGAAGAAAAACTGTTTGTAACTCCATGCCATCACGACAGTGTCTCAAACAAATTGCGGTCCTTTCACTTAGTGCAAACTATATAATTATTGGCTTTGCCTGGCGTGGAATGGAACCTTACATCTGCCAACTTGCTGAGTATCCTGTCGGGATGGTGTCGGTTTCCGGGGAGCGCTTGGAAAGATGAAGGAGTTGGAGAGCTTTGACAGGGTAAGGGTCCAGTAGAATTCTTTGGGAGGTGCTTCCAAGGGACACAGCACATTGTTAGGAGTCTCTTGTTTTTTTTTACTGTTCGAAAACCGGGGTGCATCGGCGAGATCGGCAGGTGCAAGGCAGTCAAGACTCTCTTGGCAACATCGGGCGGGGCCTCATGCTGAGGCGGGAATGTATTTGTGTATTTTGTGCGTGCATAAAGCTAGCGTAGTTTCCTTTTGGTGGATCCACTCAGAAGGCTCCGTACGCATAGAATCGGGGGCACTCACTCCTGGAGTTCGTGGACATTTTATGTTCGGGTCTTCCATTTCCTTGATCCGGGTGCGTTTTAACGGGACCCTAATTATGGCTAGCGGTTTTTACCCCCTGGGGACAGCAAATGGAAGTGAGTGAAGCAGCAGCTTGGATCGGCTCCAGTCAAGTGAGCCGATTGACCATGGTTTCCAGCGGCTTCGCAATATGGGTGTGAGTGAGAAATAGGGTAACCCCAAAATAGAGCCCTGGTAAATGGAAACAAAGGCTCAAACCTTCGGTCCCCTGATGGTAAACATGTTGACCCCTACCCATGTTGAGGCCATCAAGTGTGTGGTTTGTGTCTCCTACGGAATCACATGGAACCCCAAGACCATGCGGTTTAGAGTAATGGTCTTTTCGCGGCTTTGTTTGTTGGGATCCATGTCAAGTTGCAGGACAAAATGTTACTATCCTTTGGTTGCTCTTGTTCAGCCACCAAGATACGCTTCATTTGCCTCAGGCATCACTAAATGCAGGTTTATCGGCCATGCCCGTTTCCTTTTGAAGTCAAATGGGACACCAAATGCAAGACACCCCCCAAATATTTGCAAAGGACATCAGCCACCTGTAAATCTCAATCTCCATTTAGGGGGGCCCTTGGTTGGCTTTCATGTTTGGAGAATCATTTGAACCAGTGTTTCTCATCGTAAGCATTGGAATCTTTGGGTGTTGGTCAGGATCTCTGGAAGGTGTTGACTCAAGACCGGCCTGAGGTCAGATGCCTCCGGACTGTTTGGTTTGCCAGCCCCAGGATCCCCATGACGCTCTTCGGGCGTCCGGTCTACGAGTTCGAAGGGGGCGGCCAGCCAGGGCCCCAGCCAAACACCGTGGTACCCCCACTTCGGAATCCAGGGTTGGGCGCGAAATGGGTTTGTTTCTACTGCACACCCAAAAAAATGTCGATGTCCTTTTGCGTTAAGACCAAACAGCGGTTCCTTTAAAAAAAAGACACAAAGAACGATGTGGCCAAACAACCAGCCCCTGGTGCACTTCACAGGCAAGGTTTGCAGAAGATAAGTTTCAACCTGAAGGAATTGTCCTGTGGCACGGGACAAGTCTCGCAGCATGGCGAGATGATTCGCAAGTAGTTCTTGAGCGGCCCCTATTTGCCTTTATGAGTTGCTGGGTCCACTCTTTCGGCGGGTTCTTCAGCCAATGTTGGTCTCCCCAAGCGGGTCACTGGGGTATCGGGGTATGCCCATGCCTGGTTTGCACGGGAAGCGGGCCATGCGAAGGTATGTTGAGGTCAGAACAACTCCGACCTTCTCCACAGTAGGACCCACGAGCTAGGGGTCAACCTCCCAAAGTCAGAAAACCGTATAAGTCCCCTCCCACGAGTGGAAGCCTTATTATTGGGGGGGGGAAGGGCGGCCAAACAAAGTCTTAAGCACCCCCCCACCCCAAAGTGCTGACCTCAATGGGCCTAAAAGCCCAAGACCCCGCCAAAGACAATCCAACCAAGCCTTACGGCCGTGTCACAGATCAGGGCATGTTGTCCAAAGTGCTCCGAGCACATCAAAGATGACCAAACCTCACGTTTGTCAGGGGTGCAAAATGGGTTCCGTGGCTTGTTTGTTTTCACTTTGAAGGGGAGCCAATCCCTTCAAGGGATTTCAGACCTCGTGCGATGAATCACGTACCTTTGGGGACGGGAATCCCATTTCTTCCTATGACAGAAGGGGTCGGGTTTTTCCAGCACCACCAAAACCAGGGTAGACGAAGATTGGTAGGGGACATTCCTCCAGACCAGAAATAATACACAGATATCTGGCCTTTTGCTTTCATAGAGTTAATTCTTAACTATCTATCAGGGTCACTGTGCCACTAGGTTTTGATCGTGACGCAATGTCAAGGTGGTGTGCACGATTTGCCTTGGCGACTGTCGCAGGTACCTCTACTTCCGCAGGAAGGAGATGAAGCTGGCGGACGGCCAAGACGCCAGGCTGGAGGAGCCGAGCTTCCGGGTCTCAGCCGAAGTGAACGAACACAGTTGGCATTTTACAAAAAGAAGCCATCAGGAAAGCAATCCTGGCCGCTAATTTGAAAGGAATTTTCAGTGCTCTTCCATTCCGCAACTGAAGCGAGAGAGGAAACGGGCTCGACAAAATGTCCCGCAGCCCCCCCCCCCCGTACGTTCGACACTGCCAGACAGTGTAAGCGTTAGCTTGTGCATGCAAAGCTGGGTGAATAAGTGAGTGATTGAATGACTCAACGAGCTAATGAATGAATGAAGGAAGGAAGGAAGGAAGAAACGAAGGAAGGAAGGAAGGAAAGAATGAAGGAAGGAAGGAATGAAGGAAGGAAGGAATGAAGGAAGGAATGAAGGAAGGAAGGAGGGAGGGAAGGAAGGAAGGATTGATTGAATAAATGACTGGATGAATGGATGAATGGATGAATGGATGGATCAAAGGATGGAGCAAGCAAGCAAGCAAGCAGGCAAGCAATCAAGCAAGCGAGCAGGCATTCGAGAACAAGAAATCAAGCCAGCAGGCAGAGCAAAGCAACGCCAAGCCAAGCAAAGCAAACAGGACAAGGGCACGGCGGTGGGTTGGAAGTGCCAGGGCTCCAGCCACCACTGAACCAATACTTCCGCACTCACGCACGCATGCGCGCGCACAAGCACAGTCGCACGGGCACGCGCACGAACGCACGCATGAAGCAAAACCTTGGGCTCCAGCCGCCACTGAAGAGCCGCCAGTGCTTCCCCCTGTCTTCTTTTTTTTTTGGGGGGGGGAATGGAGTGGGGGGGTTCCCCTATTTTACAACACATACCCATGCTGTGGATGGAGAAAATCCTGAATATTGGTTGATAAACCATCTATGGGGCAACATGGATTTTGTCCATCCACAGTATGAGTGCGTCTTTTTGCAGGTTGCCCCTTTTTGGGGTTTGAGAAGAAACCAGGAGGAAAACCACAATGTTGGGGGTCTTGAAACAAGACACTCCCCCGAAGGGTTTTTGTTGGCCCTTGACCAGGAGTTCGGTGCCGGGGTGGAGCCCAACCCAGCAGCTCTCTACGAGTGGCCTGGCGATTCGTGTTGTTTTTGGTACCTAGCGTTCGGTTTTCTTGTGTCTGTGTGTGCCTTTTCAACTCAACCCCTGAGTTTGGACTTCCAATGTCAGATTCTCCTTTCCGTAGTTTAGTTGGTGGTTTGGAGCATGGCGGTTTGGATTTGGATGTGAACCTCAGGTTCCTTTGGGGAAATGGAAAGCCACAACATCCAAACCGCCAAGCCAAACCCAGCAACTAGAGGGAAGCTGAAGTTTCGGCGACGTGTGGACGTTTTGTGGGGCTTGTGCTTTTGGCGGATCACAGGCACAGGTTGCCCTGTTTGGTTGGTTCAAAAAGGAAGCCAAGAAAGAACCAAGCAGACTTCGGGGTGTCCTTAGCGTGACACACCTTGCACGCGTTGCACCTGAGGACCAGAAATTCCTAGATCGGATCAAAACTTCCCCACCCCCTTAAGAATTGAATTGGGGCAGGGGGGTGACCCCTGGAATTCCATTCATGGTTCCATTGTCCCTATGGGGAATACTAGATAAATGGAGTTGGACTGCTTTGTTGGTTTGCCGCCAAACATGGAATCATACTCAAAATGGGTTCCCTTTGTCCACCAGTCTACGAAGATGATAGAACACATAAACCCCAGGTTTACGTCAACGACTACGACATGATTAGTTACTTGGTAGTATCCTTCTCGAAGTGTTGCGAAGGTTTTGGATCTTTGGCTCCGGGCGAAAGAAACCAGTTGCCACGGGCACTTGTTTTGTTCTGGCCAGGGCTGCGAAGGGGGATGTTGAATCTGATTCCATAACTTGCTTTACACCATGGCTTGATCATGCAATCTTTGCAGTTTCAAGCCTGCTGATTGGCATTTTTTTAATCATCGGGAACACCCGCCAAGTGGTTGGCGGACATACAAACAACAAACATGCAAATACAGTCCACCAGAGAATCCCCAATTCAAACTCGAACGCAAGCAAACCAACCACAACCGTGAAAAAGACGGGCTTGCTCTTAATTGAAATTTCTTCGGGGAATCAACCGCACCCCTCAAGGGTACTCGATGGTACTCTAATGCTGATAAACAAGCCTTCCCAACGATTCGTGCCGGACCTCCAGTGGTGGGAACAAACGAACCAGTTTTGTTGGTAGTTGGTGTTTTAGGGAAGCCTCCGCCAAAGAAAAGGAAACAGCTTGATCAACCATGGGGTGGGTTCGGGTGCGCGCTTAGATTCATGAGATCAGGTACACTGGGACCGGGCTTGTTGGAAAGAGGCTCTGGTAAGCCTTGGGCTTGGTAAGTTATGCATGCTTCATCATCATGCTGCTCCGTTTACCCGCAGGATTCTCACAAGTAAAACAACGGATTTTATGCTTGTTGTTTTGTTTTTTGGCATCGCTCGCCAATTTTGACCAAGCTAAAAGGCCTTCAGGTTTTGCGCGCTGCACATGTGAACACGTATGGGTTTGAGTGCCCCCCCCCCCCCGCGCTCGGCCATTTTTGGCTTCAAGGGCTTAACCCCTCACCCCACGGGGGTCTCGGCTGGTTCCCGAGTAGCTGGGTTGGATTTCCACAAAGAAGGACCTCAACTTCTCGTTGCGGTTTTTCTTGCAGGGGGACACCATGGTGGATCCCTAACCTCGTCTGCGGGAAGACCCCCGGCCGTTGGGTTCTGATTTGGCCGAGAGGATGTTCAACCCTCAAGATTTGGATTTCCAGGTCTGCAAGGTCACTGAATAGCAGGGTCGGGCCATGGTTTCATCATGTTTCATCTTTGTTTCAACGACCTCTTTTGGTTTTCTGGTTTCCCTGGACACTCTGTTTGAACCCATTTTGCTCAAAGGCTCTGTTTAAACCAATCTTGCACCAACCCGTCCGTGGGAACTCCAAGGATGGAGGGCTACTGGGCTGTATCCAGCGAGATCGGCGCGGAGCTGGATTCCGATGTGGAGATCCACGGCTACGTGGAGGCATGCGCCTTTCTGGAACTTATCCTCGACAGATTCCCAGGTCGAAGGTTGCCATTTCTTTGGTGAACTTGCTTTTTGTCGGAGAGGGCGAGGTTGCCCATGTGGTTTGCAGACCGCCAAGAGGATGGTTCAGATTGGTTCCGGACCTCCAATATTGCCCCTGAATTTTCATGTTTTGTGGGAGGGGGAACCCCCTTTCAAATTGACTGCCAACAAAAGGGGTTGTTTCACCAGGAAATCCTTGGGTCGGTTGCCAAGTCCCTGGTCATTCTTTTGGGTGTCCTTTGTAGGTGCCCTTTCTGCGTTGGTACAAAAGGAAAACCACAATTTGTGAGAGTCCGCTATTTGACACATCTGGAGAAGACCATTCAAGTTTGGATGAGTTCGTTGATGGACTTCTTAGTTTCACTTTTTTGGGAAGTCCATTTTAATGCACAAACATTTTTGACTTTCTGCGTTTTGTTTGGCCACGGTTTGTAGTCTTGGGCCAGTTTGGCGGCTCCGGGGATCCTTAGCCCCGAGTACTTAGGTTTGGGCAGAAACTTTTCTGCTGTTTGCGTGATGCTGGGGTCCGACATGTAACAACTTTTATTTTTTAACCGCAAACAGAGGGACGCTCTTCCAACGTTTTTGTGTTGAGGGTGCCTTCTTTGTGGTTTTGAAGGGAAACCAACAGACAAAAACCACCATTTTTGGTGTCCCACAAAAAGATACACCCATATCAAGATCATGCAAAGGTCACATGTGGGGAGACAGAATGGGGGCCAGCATCATTTATGGGGGAACTTCACTGTCGCCGCGCTTCGCAACACGAGAGGAGTTGATCGGAGCATGTTGTTCTTCTTGTTGTGCACATGGTGGTAGAAAAGCCCATAGCTGGTTGGACCAGTTTGTGTTTGCTTCACATGCATGGATAGACGTAGTGGTAGGAGACAAAAGCAACAATCTGCTCAAGTTGTTCAACACTCCTTTTGCTCCTCTTTGTTTGGTGGGTTCAACGCTAACAGTCATCCTAGCCCCAAAACAGGACGTGGTTCCAATTCTTCTCCTTCCGTCCGAGTCACTGGTCGCAACGGGAATGCCTTCCATAGATGGAACCCTGCTTGCAGGTTCGGGCGGGATGAATACCTCGGTTCGATCGCCAGGATTTGGGAATCACCCCAGACCAGATCGCGAGGACCAGATCTCGGGTGGATCGCAGCAGTTGATTGATCGTTTTCCCAGGGAGCTTGGGTGTTCTTCAAGATGGAGGTTGGGCCTTCAAGAGGTTGGTCTCCTGTTGCTTTCCATAGTAAACCATCCAAAGACTGCTCATTGGCAGTCCGTAGGATAGATCCTTCCCTTGAAGTTCCGATAGAATTATCTCCTTGTCCTGATTTTGATTCATTGGCCAACCCAACATGTTGAAGAGCTCAGTTTGTCTAAACAGGATTGTCTTCCTCTTTGAAACGGCTTCACCATTTCGAACTTGTTCAAGACAAGAGCTGGCGATGCTTGTTTCAAGCCGGGAATATCTAGCGGCGCAGAGCAGGTCATGTTGTTTTCTGGCAGTTTGGAGCACATGGTAGGTAGCAAACTGAGGGGAGCCAAGTTTATGATTTGCGGATGAGGGACTCCAAGACTTGTCATATCTCAGCCTCTTCGTTGCTCTACTTGCCTCAGTTGCTTCATATTTTGCAGCATCCATCTTCTCAGGCAAAGTGAGGCGTTGTGAGCGCGTGTTTCTTTCAACAGCAGGAGTTGATTCCTGAGCTGAGGCGGCTGTCAAGTCATGCTGTGGATGGACAAGATCTAGATCGCACCAGTTGGCATGATGAAACCCATGAAACCCTATAGTTCCTGGGATACATCACCCGGTGCGAAGCGGATGTTGTCCATCCATAGAGCCTTTTCAATATGTGTGTTTGCCCAAGGTAGATTGGTCTGGGTTGTCTCTTATCATCTCTTGAAGGATATTTGTCTACCCGGGCCAGCCAGCTTTCCCCAAGGTTGTTTTAATCATCACTTGTTGGAAAGGGCCAAGATAATGTGAAACTCCGTTGTTGGGGTCATGCTTCAAGAGAACATCAAGTCTTATCTCCAAACAGGGAACCCCCAGATTGCCCAGATTGGTTGGTTTTCCTTTGGTTTCCCTTTCCACCACGGCAAGAAGGGGGTGCCCTTTGCAAGAGAATGGAATGCACCCATATAGGGAACCAAGCTATGTGAAGGCGTTATGAATGAGCAGCGGACAGTACTGAGGTATTAATGTTAACACTGACGGGTCAGGTAATTCTTGAGCGCCCATCAAATAATTATTTTAGCAACGGATGGCATAACAAATTGCATTCTCAAATTGCACTTGTTGGGGCAGGGCTTTCTGATTAGCATTTCGAAATTGCACTTGTTGGGGCAGGGCTTTCTGATTAGCATTTCGAAATTGCATTTATTGGGGCAGGGTTTTCTGATTATCATTTTGAAACTGCATTTGTTGGAGTAGAGGGTTTTCAAGTTGCATTTGTTGTCAAACCAACATGGATTACACACTGGGCGCGCCTGTTGTGAAACAACCCCTTGCGCAGGAACATTGACAAACACATTCGGCGTGGGTGAGACTTGTTAGGTAGCGAGGCTGACTTGTCAGCGTTGTCAGAGCGCTTTTTTTGGTTTCGGACAATCAAGTGACAAGAGCTTTGTTGAACATTTCCCTGGGCTGTGAACTTGACTGAGTTGAGTTGATGTTTGGCGGGGCAACGGTGTCGGATGTTGAGCATCTTGCCTATTTGAGAGTTCTGCGTTTTGCTGAGGCTTGCGGTGGTGACTGATAGAAGCGTGTCAACCAACAACTGAGATATGGAATAGCGGGGTGGATGGGCGCTGGGCGTGTCTGAGCATTCGCAGCGCCGCCGTCTCAATCTCTCAGGCGAGCTGGTCGGTTGAGTTGGTTGTCACGCGCACACATGGTAGCTCACGACTTCCATTGTGACTGTAGATTGCTGCATGTTGAAAGCAAAACCGGCTGACTTTTTGACTTAGACTTAGTGAGTGATCATGTCTGCGCTTGCGGATAACTGGTCTGCAATTGGAGATGAGCTTGCCGGCTCACAAGATGAATTGAGCCAGCGCATTAGCCGCGCCGACGCGTGCCGGTCATCATCAGACTCCGAAGAGGAGATCTTGGGCAAGACCCCTGCTTGTTCGGCAGACGCCCCTTGGTGGGCGCAGGTTCTGACAAATGCGGCCCAATCGCTTGGGTACCAGCCGCAGCTCTTGAAGGGCCATGTCAAGATCGTGTCTGGCTGCACAGGCATGAGCGCTGAAGGCTTTGTCTTCAAGGCCGGCTTTGATGCATTTTTCTCTACAGTCACTCACGCAGTCCCCGTGAAACATCGAAGTGTGAGAATCTACGGCTGTGAGAAGTATGGTTCGCATTTCTATGTAGCAGTCAACATTGCTACCTCAGCCACTTTGCGCCAGGCGCTGGGGATCCCCTACAGCATCATGAGCGCGTCCGACCCGCAGAAGGCCTGCCGCAGGTTTGTGGAAGAGAACCCGCAACACTGCTGCAAACCGACGCACTGGTACAAAGGCATTGCAGAGCAACACCAAGGGCATGAGTGCTTCCTTCATAGCGGCTCAGGGACATGCAACCCAGCCCCGCAAGAGGTGGACTTTGCCACTTGCGGCGCCCCATGCCACCCTTACAGCACCCAACGTGCTGGACGTTTCAAGAAAGAATCAGTAGAAGCCCACCACGAGTACCAGGTATCGATGGAGGACTTCTTTAGGTGGCTGTTGCGATTCGCACCAAAATCTCTAGTTTTTGAGCAAGTGCCCGGCTTTGACAAGCCGTTGGAGAGAGGTGGCTCAGAAACGCCTTTGGACCGGTCCCTAGTTGTCAATGGCATGTTCTCTGTTTGTTAGGTAATCACTAGCCGCTAGCCATGAATGGCATTGGTTGGGGATGATTGTGCTCCCACTCTTTTTCAATTCTATTTTAACAGGAACCCAACAATTGTCGCAAGCCCTCACGTTAAACTTGAATGAAACCCGTAGTCCCTTGGTCACGTCGTAGTCATAGTCTCTTTGCGAGGGTGTCAGTGTTTTTCAAACCTTTTGGTGAATTCTGGGAAGTCAATCTTTCCTGTTTTTGGGCCCCCTCCCTTTAAGGCGTGGTGGTAGGGGGTTATCCGCTTTAGATTAGCCCACCCCTTCAACACGCGCCTTCTGCCGAGGTTCATGCAGCTGCTGGAGGCCCAAGATCTCCAACATGGCGGATATTGGGTCCTCAAGAAGCAGCTGGATATGGCGCAGTGGATCCAAATCAAGAGGGAGAGGACTGGGTTCACTGGGTCTTGGGGTTCGGTTCAGGCAAGGTGCTCGCTTGCAAACGCGGTGCTCGGCTCTCGTTTCACGCAGCCTGTAGATCAGTGATACATGTTTTCGCATGACTTGTAGCTGAAGTGTATTCGACTTGGGAAATATCACCAGAGCACACCAACCGCTTGACTCAGACTTAGTCACTTCCAAGTCACATGGACTAAATTTCAACATCTACATGACAAAGCACGAATGGCGGTTCACTGGGATGACTCATGGGGCGATGTCTCAGACCAGAGCGCGCCTGCTGGAGCTTCGGTGCTGTTAGCGTGGCACGCCTGGAGTGACGATGAGAGCAACGAGGACGTTGAGCAGCGCTTGCAGTCTACGGAGCGCGCGCCGAAACGGAGGCGCGGGCGGCCTACGGGAAGCGCGGGCTCTGCAGCGTTGCGTGCGGCGTCGACCCCTGGCAACTCAGTCACTCTTTGAACTTTTGAAGTATCATAGTTTGCGCTGTTGCGTTAGGTGTTTGTTCGTAACGACCTTTTTGGCCCCTTAGCAGTTGTCAAACATGTTTCCTGCGAATAGCTCGGAGTTTTTTTTGCAACAAAGGAAGCGCGCTTTAGATGCTGCAGGGTTGGGAGATCCTGTGGTTTCTGCATTTGGCGGCTCGCAGTCTCAGCCTGCGCCAGGCAGTATTGAATATGCCCGCAAGCAATGGGCAACGCAGCGCACGAACAGGGCTCAGGATGCTGTCAGCGACAAGTTGCAGCAACGTCAGCAGCAGCAGGAAAGGGGCCTTTTCTCCGAACAGTCAGGGTTGTGGGCGATTCTACCGTTTCTGGGCTCCATCGTGATGCGTGCTCTCTGTCAGGCGGCCAGGTTCTCTTTTCAACAGTTGCCAGACAGCAGCCGGTCTTCGTCGACGCTGTCACAAGTTATGATCTTCAAGTCAATGGCGACCATGTCCAATGAGGCCCTCAGCAAGTTCCTGAAGAGCTCAAGTCAATCGCTGCGCACTGCCAACGTTGCCCGCCAGAGCTTGCAAGGAACTGCTGCAATCTTGGACTCTGCCTGCGTGTTGTGGGGCGGCTTGCTTGCAGCGATGAGCAAAAAAATTGAGAGTGGCGAGATGCGGGGCATCCTCCTGATCAAAAAGTCGCGCTACGACGAGACACCGTTGAAGGTGCGAAGCAATGGTGATCAGCTTGGCCGCCGGAAGCTCTGCAGCGGGGAAGTATCAACTCATGCTAAGATCATGCAAACGGAGATGTCGCTGCACATGTTGTTTTGCGAAGCTGGCAGTGGTAGATTTCTGCTTTTGAGCGGCTTCATCCCGACTTCGTTGAAGATGCTGGATTCCACCACTGCCGAGGCAACAAAGGCTGCTGTCCTCTCCGACCATCAAAGTGTGCCAGGCCTACAGGAGTTCAGCAAGTCCTTTGCGTGGAAACTACAGCAGGCCACAGTAGACAGGTATGCCGCCAACCTCAAGGCAGAAAGAAGCCTGCTGCACGATGATGTGACGTGGAGCAAGTTTACGAAAGCTTGCGACGTGCACGTGATAGCGTCTGTCCACACGAAAACTACAAGCATTTTGGACAGCGACGTGTCTGGCTTGCTACACACAGCTCTATCGCAGCACGGAGCAGGAGCTCTGCAGACACTGCGACAGATTCTGAGTTCAATCTTTGAGTCTGAAACGTTCGTGATCTACAACGTGCCTCCACAAGGTCATGTGCGACAGCATCGTGAGCAGCTACATGACCTGTATCTGCCAGTCCCAGTAACTGGCCAGTTGAGCAACGTGAGTTGCAGGACGTTGCTGCGCCGATACATCCTTGGAAGTCTTCTGAATGGGAGTTTGCAGGAGGCCGAAATCACTCATTACTGCCCTTACTCATGTTGC